TTTTCGTCGAATGAAGAGGTGATCGCCGAAACTGAGGCCTATTTTGAAGCAAAGGACAAATCGTACTACAAAAATGGTATCGAAAAGTTAGAGGATCGCTATAATCAGTGTGTCACCCTTGAAGGGAATTATGTTGAATAAAAAAAAACGAATTTTGCAAAAAAAATGTGTTTTACTATTTTAGGCCGGGGACTTTTCAATTGACCTGTTATAATAGGTTAGCCAGGAGTTCCTTATCTATAATCAGGACCAACCTATATTATATCTGTTGCATATGGGCTCGGTTCAACATTGAGGATAATAATACTGTTGAGTCACGGAACCCAATGGGCGGATGTTTATGGTTTCGGGCGACAAACCAGGAGCAGTGATTAACCTGAACTCGCAATATTCACACGTTTTTTTTTGCACAAGTTAAGTTTAGTTTGTGGAGTAAAATTCTTTTGTATTGAGTGAAAAGTTGTGAATAAATGAAATTGTTCAATCTACCCAAGTTTCTCCTCTATACGTGTTGGTCCTTCGAGAAACAAAAAACGAAAAAGAAAAATTTCAAAATATTGTGCAAAATCCTCACGACACCAAACAAATACTCATGTGTTTATTTAGTGCATTAGTTATGTAAAGAATGGAGTTGTGTCTTTGCCTACCATCGATAAAAGTGTCTCCAACTGAAATAAAATTGCAGACTGTATAGTTACCTCTGTTTATTGTAAAATGTATTTGATTTTTGATGTAGGAAGACATATAATAGGTTAGCTAGAAGTTCCTTATCTATGACCACAGGATCAACCTATTTGATATCTGTTGCCTATGGCTAGGACCCAAAATGCAGGATAATATTTATGTATGTAATAGATAGAATGTGGAAGATGCTGAATGATGAAATTGTGGTCCCGATTTCGACAGTTTACACATTCTAGTTTTAATAATAAAGTCGTATAGAAAAACGTTGTTATTTGAACCGTTGTCTGTTGGTTAAAGTGCTACATTCTTAATGTAGGAATTCAGGTCAGAATGCGGATAAGAAAAATTCAATCAGCCGTTTCTTAACGTCATTAAACGTTCGCTGCGAAGATTTCTTATCGGGACATGATCCGAAGCAATGCAGCATCCCTTCTAGCTTTTAATGAACTCGTGCATTCACAATAAAATCAATATTTGATTCGCATGTGCCAAGTTCGTGGAGTGGAGACTTACAAACAAGTGCTCTCACAAGATTGCTTTTAGAAGCACTTGCGAAAATACTTGTCGATCTTGAAAATTGCAACTTTTTCACGTTCAGCAGCAACAGTAATAGAAGGTAAAAAGTAGCTTTTATTCACGTTAGAGACAATAAGATAATGCCATTACTCCGTATTGAAAGAAACCGAGTAAGAATTGAAAGGTGTACCTACATATCAGGATCAAAATCCGTCAATGAACACAGCTGACAATAGATAACGACGGCTGCTAATCGTGGTCGATCAAAAACAACCACTTCTAGCCGTGGCCGTCAGCGGACTTTGATCTTAACATAGGTCATCATCATAAGGTCGTCAGTCCTAAGACTGGTTGGACACGCACCTTCACTTTTTCCTATCCTGAGTTAATCTTCGCATTTCCTTAAAAATAGAACAACCCACATCCTTAACTATTTGCGAACAGTAATCTAATGTAGGTTTACATCTACCCCTCCCAACTCCCGTTTCTGCCAGCAATATGTGTCTCAGACTAGCCCTTCATGTCTGAGAAGGTGTACTACCAACCTATCTCGCCTATTTCTTATTTAATTCGATTTTCTAAAACGCGTTAAGACAGCAGGTAAAAGTTGGCCTGTGTTCTGTCGCAGCTGCCTACAGCGCGATGATGAGATCCAAAAAGATCGAAATCGCGATCCGCGTCTGGCAGTTTCGACAGAATACAGACCTCTTCGAATTATTTTATTCGATTATGGTAACGTGCCTATCACGTTGAGATTAGCTACGCCGGGATTCGTTTCAGTAAGTAGATATCCATAATAAATAAATGGACCTTGTTGGAGCATACGTAATCCTAAAATGTAGCATCGTACTACAGATGGCGTTTACCGCGCCATTTGTGGTATTTTCTAATTCCATAGAGTCCTCTGTTCTCCTATTCTTTCTACTGTCTCTTCATTTCTAACCTTCCCTGTCCACGGTATCCTCATCATTCGTCTATAACACCACATTTCGAACGCTTCTAACCTTTTATTTTCCGTCGCGCCCACCGTCTATGTTTCGCACCCGTACCTATACAATGTGTTTCGTTTTCATCGACCGTTAGTAGAAACACACTTCAGAAGGTTTATTGGACATTGACTAACTTTTAATTCTGGTTTACACGAGAGGTAATCGTCATTTATTGAACGCTTTTCAAGCCCTTAATAAACAATTTTAGGGTTCACATGTACTATTCTCATGTAAAATCCCACATTCGCGTCGGATCCTAATATATATCTACTAAATTATCACAGAAAGCAAAGTTGATTTTCGTCAACAACTTAATCTCTCGATTTTCCGGTCTTTCAGTGGCAACGTTTTCCTTTATTTTCTACGTAACCAGAAAGTAATATAAAATATACTGTTCTTAATTGGTAATCGGACCGTTTTATTGCCGCTGAGACGTCTTTAAAAAGCTCGTTAATTTTATTGCATAGGTAGGCGCGACTACAGTTCACAATCTGAGATGCCAATCTAATCCGTCGAAATTGATCGAAACCCCAGTCAGTCACGGTTGCTCCCTCCGTGAGAATTTACCAGAGCAACAGGTTGTAACACGTAGGTAGCAGAGGTGGACTCCTCATCTAAAATTGTTTCGGGTTTAGATTGAGCTCTGGTAAATAATTCAACGCCAATGCTCTTCAAACTCAGCTCGGGAAACACACGTCAATTTATTTTTCTTATCAAACCACTTTATGAAATATCCATTAACCTGGGAGATTTCTTTCAATTGATATCGCTTTTGAATTTTTCTTTAGATTAGAAGTTACTCTCAGACGTTTATTAAAAATAATAAATGGCACCAGTATCAAAGTAACTTTGTTAAAAAGAAAGGTTATCAAAAAATCTATTGAATTTTAGTACCTACAAGTTTCTGAAAAGTCATTTTATAATTTCCTGAAGGAAATAATATTACTTTGGCACCTTTTGTACAATATCTATTTATATCCTTCAAGGGAGATAAACGGCAATAAATTAGATAAGGTGAACGTCAAACGGCGTCGCTACTTTCGTTTTAAAAGCTTCTTTAAAAACCCTCCCTCAAAGAATAACACAAAAAATAATAGGTTCAAATCCCCTTCTAACAAAAAAAGGACATGGAGTTCAACTCCTGCGCTCGCTTTTTAAATAAGAATGGAATAACTATCATAACGTAAGAAGTTGCTTGTTATTTAAGATTGAGCTACCACAAAAGAAAAATGTTAGATGAATAGATCCACGCACTTTTTTATTTCCCGCAATTTTTTTTCTCATCACAGCGAACTCATACGCAGATAAATGCATTTTTCAACGTCCCTAATCTTGAATTTTAAGAAAAATTGCAAAACGTCGAATGTTATTAAGTTTATTATTACTGAAACATTATCCTATATATTCACACAAATTTTGTTACATGCAAATGACAATTTTCTTTTTATCACGTATTCATTATACATACCCGTAGGAAAAATTTCCATTCTATTTCCATTAAAAAAATGCCATTTAATTACCACTGATAATAATTAATGGTAATAAATGGAGAATTGCCAATGGGATGAATGGAATTTCCACTAGAATTCTAGTGGAAATCCCATTCCCGAACTCAATGGGATTTCCATTGCTGAACGCAATGGCATTACCATTGCGTTCCATTGGAACTTCATCAGCATGCTTTTTTCCATAATCCATATTATTTTGTTGAGAATTTGGTTCTTCAGGTACCTGAACCAAGGCACGTGCCTGGATGTCTGGCTCTTCATCATTGTGTTTAGATTTTTTTTCACTTGCTTCTGATAAAACTACATCACTCTCACAGATGACTTCGGCCTCCTCTATATTCTGGCATGGTTCAAAATCATCAAACAATGCTTCTAATGTAGGCTTTTTCACTTGTCTAGGGGTTGTTTAATAAAAGGCTCCGGGTAGTTGAATACATATATAATAAACATAATAATGAATATAAACAGCAAACAGCAAAACGAGTAACAAACAGGAACTAAATATATACAACTTATATACAATATTCAATGTATCGCGTCTTCCAAAATACATACGTCTTCGTGTAATCACCATAAATACGTCTTCCGTCTTTTTTGAGCAAAAATGCTCAACGTCTAAATGAAATATACCGTTTTAATCAAACATCTTACCACCTTGCTTGTCTCTCACTCTACTGCCGTGGTGGTCCCTCACGTACCCCCAACATGCACGCATAGGTAAAACTAGATTATTGATTTTCCACCACCTAATTGGCAATATCACTACTCTTGCACCTGGGCAAGCAAAAACTGTATCGAAAAAGGCTAATAGTATATGTGGCCAGGAATTATATTGTAAATGGAAACAATTATTTTTCCATTTATGCCAAATGGGTTTGAATGGAATTTACAAATTTTCCGTTGATTCCCATTGAAGTTCAATGGAAATTTTTCCTACGGGTAGCTTTCAGATACTTATAATTTTTGGTTGGTTTTAAACGAAAAAGGTGAAGTTGACCTGTCTATTTATGATTTTTCTTAATCTGCGAACCAAAGTCAACGCGGGACTCTTTTTTTATGTGTTTTTTTTACATTTTTCCCTCTGCGCTCATATTGCATTGCATTATTTTTTATAATTATTATTCTAACAATTAGATAAATTTCAGTGGAAATATTTCGATCATGTTTTATCATCTTCGTTTAAAATAAAACATTTATGTAAATACCATTACTTGATTAAAATACGTAATCACTATAACATAAAATACCTTCTGTAAACTACTAACAATATTTTCAAAACAATAAATGTGATTGATGAACTTACCAAAATGTATTACAGTGCTTATTCGACACCACTTGAAACCGAGGAGGCCCTAGAACAAAAAAAATATATATATAAGGATTTTATAAACGAGTTTCCAGATAATTCATCAAACTACTCCAACACTACAATCCCAAAAAGATGCCAAAAGGCTCAATTACTTCGCCAAAACGTTATAAATTTTTAAACAGGTATTGAGAAATGGTGAAATTCAGAATTAGTCATCACTTCTGATTATAATATAAAAACCGATACTGTTTTCAAAACACTAACGTCAACACTAAGTTAGCTGCTTTGTAATTTTTTCAATAAGAAATAATAAATAAGTACAATTCAAGAACATTATTACTCTAACTAGACAAGAATTATATTTAATGGCAAATCCTCAACAAATGATGAAAAACTTGTCGATCAGCAATTCGAACATAGTAGCTTTCATGAACACGGAATAGGTTGTTTCCATAAATCCTGGACGAAACCGAAGTTGCTTCGCAAAAGCAAGTTGATACAGTCAATTTTCGGGCAGAATATGTCACCTAATGGCAAATGCAGCTAACTGTTGTATGTCAAGTATTTGTCAAAGGTTTTACAAAGATATCTACATGTCGAACTGAATCTACGACGCACCTAACATCTATAAACATTACCGATGATTACCGATGAAGAACTTAATGTTCCTTTTTAATTTTGTTCACGTACATATCAACTGCGTCGAAGAAGACAAGCAGATTCTTTCGTAAGTCCGTGTCAAAACATTTAAAATACAACTTTTACCAGAAAACATCTGTCTGCCGATAACTTCATGTTGTACATTAAATACATCAGAAAGACTAATGTGCTACAAACATTGTACATGAATGGAGTAGTTTTTTGATCTTCGAGACAGTCCTAAATTACGCCCAACAAGAAAATAAAATCACGTAGTGTGTGAACAACTTTTTCCAAATGATTTATTCTTTTCCGAAGTATGTAGTAGGTACAACAAAAATTCCTCTTCGAAGCTAAAGACTTTAACGAGTTTGAAACTAAAAAGTTCCGAGAGGTTCGAAACGAGAAATATCGTTGAAGTTCTGGTCTAAAACCACTTCTTGCTTGCAACTCAAATAAATCTTGTTCCTGCTGTTGCTGACTTCATCCTCCTTTTTGAACGTCACAGATCACGTATAGAGCCGTTTAGTGCAATTTCCTTCCGATACCACCATTCACTTACACTTAGGCGGTATCTCGTACTTTCTAATCTTAGGTCGTCGATAACAAATGATCAAAAAGTTTTATTAAAATAATGAATACCCCAACGGAATACGTGATTACTGTGCATACATCTTTTCAAAACTTAATCTAATAGTGATGAATTATTTGCTAATTTGTTGGTTCTATTATTTCCTTCATCCATTCTATTCCTTTTCGCGATCCTCTGCCTTTAACACGTTGCATACTGTCAAAATTTTTTTCGCCTTACCTTCTTATAATAGGTTACCCGAGTCGAAAAATTGGGACTCATTTTATCCTCAAATGAACTATTTAGACTCATTTTTTCCTCATTTAGACGTTTTTAATCTCAGATACCTCAATAAGTTTTCATAAGACTCATCACATTGGATTCTAAAAAGTCTCATTTTATTCTCAATGTCTGCAATCCTATGGCAATAGTCCTCAATTTAACCTCAACAAGAAAAGAATGAGACTTTTTGAAGACAAAATGAGGTTTCCTAAATAATCTTTACTCCTCAAAAGTCTCATTTTGTCCTGATACGGGAAAACCGCGGATAAAATGAGACTTTTGAGTCTTGTAGTTTGAAATATCCCTAAAAATTCTATTGAGATCAAATGAGGACAAAATGAGTCCCAATTTTTTGACTCGGGTAGTAGGATGCCTTTTTTGGGCATGAAGGGTTAATCAGAGACATATTAGGAACATAAAGAGAAATAGAGGTAGATTGATTAGATTTGTGTTCATAAACACTTTAGCTTAAAATAGGAAAGAATAGAGGTGCGTATACAACTAGTCTTAAGACTGACGACCTTTTGATGATGTTCTTGTCACATTTCGTAAATTCGTATGTAGCTTCCATCTCTATTCTTTCTGCTCTATCCCTAACCTCTTCAAATATATTTCTCTCACAAAACCAGTATAGTTTTTTGTTTGATAATAAATTAAGAGAAATGAAATATGTAATTGTGTCTGCTTAGAACGCTTTCTAATGTATTACATATCCCGTCTAATTAAAAGTCCATTTAATTACATAATCAATAACGATAATTATTCTAATACAGTTTAAATTATTATTTAGCTAAAGTTTTATTTCTCATTATTAACATTTGTATATAGCATACTCACTCCTAATATCATCATCCTAAAGTCGTCAGTCCTAAGACTGGTTGGACACGCACCTCCATTCTTTCCTATCCTGAACTAATCTTCGCATTTCCCTAAAACTAGAACTAATCTAATCTAGGTCTACCTACACCACTCCTAACTCTCGTTTCCGCCTGCAATGTGTCTCTGACTAGCCTTTCATGCCTGAAAAGGTGTTCTACCAACCTATCTCGTCTATTTTTTATTGATTTCCATAGAGTCCTCTGTTCTCCTTTTCTTTCTAATACCTCTTCATTTCGAACCTTCCCTATCCACGGTATCCTCATCATTCGTAGGTAACACCACATTTTGAAGGCTTCTAGACTTTTCACCGTGCCCACCGTCCATGTTTCGCACCCTTACAGCGCCGCACTCCAAATTTACACCTTTAACAATCTTTTTCGAATTTCTAAATTAATCGTTCGCGATCATAGAAGTGACTTCTTTTTATTGAAGTCGACTCGACCCTGCGCTACCCTCTGCTTTATATCCCTACTACTCCTTCCATTCGGACTTATATCCTTATATACTAACTTAAAATGGCCTAGTTAATCCTAGACAAGCAAAGTTTATCCTGAAGTCGTTTTGGGCAGTTAACTAATTTTTTTTTTTTTGAAGAATTCTATAGACAATAAAATCATAAAGTGGTCAATTGGATAAATTTTTCTACCTACGTATAGATATGTATGGCATTTTCTTCGTACATTTAGTTATTCTTTTAGAGTAAGTAAGTAAGCTTTTCTTGAAGTCAGGATAAGTTAAAGCGTGTAGACATGCTATGAAAATGTTTCTTATGTATATATATATTATACGTATACATATTGCATGTACTCTACAACGTACACATTGGAAAACGCTGTGTGTTTGACGTAGGTTATGATCACTCTGGGTCTGGATACGAGTAGAATAAATAAATTTATCTCGCGTATTTGAAAAATGTGACTTCGTTGACCAAGCCCGAGGAAAACTGAATGAAATTACGAAAAATAGTCTGGCTTCACTGCCTGTGGGCCTATGTATATTCTGTTTGGTTGTAGCTTCATTCTTTCGCCTTTTGACTTGTTCAAGTATTTTTTTAACGTAGGTTTGGTATAATATTCCACATTTATTACAAAATCCGATTTTAATTAAGTACAAACTTGGGGATTAAATTATATGTTGACAAATACTTAAATGGACACATTTGCCATTATTTCGTTCTTAAATGATTTTCGGATCTTAATTAGAAATCCACTGGCTTACCGATAATCAGAAACGACCTTTTTGAACCTAGTGATGAAATTTCAAATGTTTGCATACTTTTGAGGGAGGTTTTCAGATATCTTTGAAATTTTCTTCAACGTACAGTAATTATTTATGGTATTTGTGTTACAAGGTGTGAATACAATATTGTACGTAGTTTACAGCTTCGTACGTAAAAAATCGTTTTTATGATAGATTTAGGTATAAATATATATGCCTAAAAGCATGAATTTGTTGTCCCTTGTTTACTTTAAGGGACCCTTTCAAAACATGTTTTTATATCCCTAAGTACGATTTTTAGATCTGGGTCAGGAGTTTATATATTACATGTGAATTCCAGCAGATATTAGAAACAATAGAAATTCGGATACCCCAAAATAATGAAGGGAATTACAAATTCATTTTTCACCCCTTAAATTTTATAATCAGGAAGGCTACCCTGTTAAATTTCAAATCAAGTCCTCCAAATGATAACTTGAGTTTCACGAAGTACAAAATCCATACAGAAAATTATATTCCTAGTGAAGTGAGTTTTTAATTAATCATAACCCAAAGCCACTTAGGAATATATAATTCAACATGGGTCGATGTTATTATTTCGCGCCATTTAAGTATCTAATTTCAAAATCTGATTTTATTATTGTTCTGAGACCTATGCACTTAAAGTGCCGTGTTTACGTTGTAAAGTTACTAAGCAATGGCGATACCTATTTGTGTGCAAGATGAAGGAAGATCGATTGACTGCCTCCTATTTTAGTTTACGTTGGCTACAACGTTAGAAAAGTATATAAAATGATGTATGACTAAATTGAAACTTTCACAGGGATTTACAAAAAGAGCTGCTGCTTCATATGTCATCATCGGTTAAAAAATTCATTAAAAAAATGTAGAAAATTAACAGAACAGTTCGCATCTATGATAGAAACGAATGGATGGACAATTGAAAGTGTTTAAACGAAGCATGCAGCTGAAATTTAATCCTTTAATCCATCCTTACGAAACAACTGACCAAGGCCGTAACTAGCAAGGGGGTTATCGCGTTAAAAACAATTTTCAAACACTTTCACAAATAATTAAAAAAATAATCATTATAAGCTTAACTCTGCAGCCGATGCAGGCACTGCTACTAGTACGTGTCGATTTTTACTTCGATCTAGCTTTACTTCGATTAGCAAGTTGTACCGGAATAGGCGTAAATAATTTAAAATAATGATTAAAACTCGTGAGTTTTTCTACTTTGAGTATCAATGACAATACCCCTAATCGATGATTGTATGGAACAATTAAAAGATAGGCTTATAGATCATAAAGATATTTTGTCGACGTTAAACTCCCTACTTCCATTAGTTTGCTGTGAGTGTGATCCCCTACAGATTTTGACAGTTTAGCCATAGATATGTGAGAAAAATAATGTACATTTACAACAACTACCAGCGGAGTTTGATTTGTGGAAA